GGGTTTAGGGTTTAGGGCCGTTTAGGGTTTAGGGTTTAGGGTTTGGGGTTGAAGGCTTTGCGTTCGGGGTGTAGAGCCTGGGGTTGTAGGCTAGGCTAAGATCTGCAACCCTCAGGCCAAGAATTATAACCACAGCCGTGTAATTTCTAAGTCCCGATCCCCTATGGCCCTTAAGCCAAGCCCTAAGCCCTCAAAGAAGCGGCCAAACCCTACACCCCAACCCTAAACCCTCTAAACCTTAAACCCTCAAACTTGTGGCTGCGGTCTGAAACTAACATACTTTCAACGATTTGCAGCTAAAGTTTCTCAAACTTATGATCCCTTTTTAGGGTTCCTACAATAAGACGGAGCTGCCAAACGGAGAATCTGTATCAACACACCCTTAAGCCCCTAAACGCAGTGCACTTCTAGTTTAGGGTTTAGGACGGGGTTGGGGTTGAGCGCCTGAGGCCCATGTCACCCACACAATCACCTCATACAGGGGTCGGATTCCCTATGGTCCCCATAGTTGTACTGTAATATTCCCGAAAACCCTGTTCTAATTATGGAGGCCCCAATATTGGATGCTGACACCCCTGCACACCCCCAAGCCCCTCCCCTCAAACCCCCAAACCGACCTTGTTACAGCCTTAAACCCTAAACCCTAAACCCTAAACCCTAAACCCCATACCCCCAAAACAACCCAAATCCCCCAACGAGGTGCTGGACGAGGTCCGACGGGCTGAGTTCATCGCACTTGACTTGGAGCTGACGGGCCTTCATGCTCAGGGCCCCAGAGGGTTTAGGGTTGAGGGTTGAGGGTTTAGGGTTGAGGGGTTAGGGTTTAGGGGGCCCCAGCGGTTTTAGGGCTTATGGGGTAGCTCAGGGACTGGCGCTCCAATTTGGGTTTAGGGTTTAGGGCCTATGGGGTTTCTGAAGTTTATGGGGTTTAGGGCTTATGGTTGGTTTTTTAAGGCTTTATGGCGGTTTTGGGGGGGCTTATGGGGTTTATGTTATTATACATATATATATATATATATATATTTTTTTTTATTTTATTATGTTTTTTTTTTGGGTGGGGGGGGGGGGGGGGGCGGCCGCTGATGGGTTGATGGGGCGCCTTGCGAGTCAGAGCAGGCCACGAGCTTCCTAGCCGCAGCTTTAAGCGAAGCAAGCCCCAGCCAGCCCCAACCACAAAGCTTGCCCCTAAACCCTAAACCCTAAACCCTAAACCCTAAACCCTATAAGCCCTAAACCCAAAACCCTATAACCCCAAACCCTATGAACCCTAAACCCTATACACCCTAAACCCTAAACCATCCTAAACCTTTTCATGTGTCAATCATGCTACGGAACATTTGAAAAGCTTGGGACACTTGGCCGACTAGTAGAAAGTTGGAACAGCTGAGTCGCTGCATTTTCCGGCCGTTCGGGGCCAGAAGGCAAAGGATACCCTCAATGCTTGGTCACCAGGCCCTCCCTAAACCCCAAACCTAAACCCTAAACCCTAAACCCTGGGGCTTCAACCGGCCTCCCAAGGGCTTCCAAGCGAGCCTCCCAGCCAAAACCTGCTCACGCACGTGCAACCTGTCATGCTGAGCGGTCGACTGCGCTCGCCTACCCAACAGAGGTGAGAAGGGTGGCGGGTTTAGGGTTTAGGGTTTAGGGTTTAGGAGAACATCCAAACACTCTTACGAACCGCGAGGCTCCCGGGCCTATGGCTTATAGGCCTCAGGTGTTGGGGACTGAAGGTTGAGCGTGCTCGCGGGTACCTTGTACAAGCCTAGAGAAATCGGAGTTTTGTATCAAAGAGCCCCTGAACCCTAAACCCTAAACCCTAAACCCTAAACCCTAAACCCTAATCCTCAGGTCAAGAATGAGAGGTTCATCGGCATAGAGCGCTGCTACTCGGCGCACCGCGAGGGCGCGAAGACCTTTCTGCCTGTCCAGGCACGCTCAGGGAGCTCCATCCTTGAGGGTTTAGGGTTTAGGGTTTAGGGTTTAGGGTTTAGGGTTTAGGGTTTAGGGTTTAGGGTTAGGGTTAGGGTTTAGCTGAACCCTAAAACCCTATGAAGCCCTAAACCTCAAAGCCCCCAATACACACTGCCAGGTCGGCCTCTGCGCTGCGCGCCGGGACCCGGCGCGCAGCAGCGCGCCCGGGCACCCAGCAGACAGGATTAGGGTTCAGGGTTTAGGTTTTAGGGTTTAGGGTTTAGGGTTGTTTTTTACCGTTTAGTGTAGGCTTTAGGGTTTAGGGGTTAGGGTTTAGGGTTTAGGATTTATGGTTTAGGGTAAAGGGTTGACGGATGTTTAGGGTGGACGGATGTTTAGGCTTTAGGGTATACACCCCCGATCTAAAACTCAAGGGCCCATGCTCCCCTGAACCCTAATGTTAGGGTCCCTTTAATAAACCCCCCCCCCCCCAAATCTTGTTTTGGTCCCCGGGGTTTGGAGGGGTGGAAAAAAGACGGGGTGCCAATAATGAATTCTGGGGGTCTGGGGGGGGGTCATCTGTCAGAGCAGACCCAGCAGACCAGTCT